TTCTGTAGGTTTGACGACGTGCTCTTTCATTTGGACAGGTCAAAAAATGTTTTTGGTGAAAATGATTTTTCGGTTGAAAAGCCAAGATCTTTAAAAAACGGGTTTTTAAATCGAAAGCGGGAGAAAACCATTGTGATATTCGGAATCAGCACGTTCGATTACCTATTGTCAACTGAGTTTCAGCTCAAAAGCGAGGAGGCAGTTGGTGGCCTTTCCTCGTAAGACCGATGTAAATTCGAAGGAGACAGGTAATAACAAAAAAGACAGCAGACGAAAAGAGAGATACTATAGTAACCTCTGGGTGTGGGTGGATGGGATAAATCGGTGAGCTTATCACAGCACATGAGACATATGCATAGAAGCGAGTATAATGCCACCATTGAAGTTCCGGTGTCAATACGGCGTTGGACTCCTGATGAAATCCTAATATTGGCTGAACTTGTAGCTGGCATTCCATCCTCGAATGGTACGTTTATTAATCAAGTCCTTGCTAAACATTTTCCATCTCGAACACTTGAGTCCATTAAATCACGTCGTAAAAATAGTGAGTAATGATTATTGCTGTAGCAAAAAGGCCATTGTCAAGCAGCTCAAAATATTGAAGGGTCTAATCGTACAGAAACATCTTCTGATGTAAAAAGTATTACTGTCGAGAATGACAGTATGTTTTTTTCTTCCTTTCTTTCTATCTTTCTTTTCTCCTTTCTCTCTTTCTTTCTTTCTCTTTCTGGATGATATGGTCTCTTTGTTGATGTTAGGTAAATTCTTTCTTTCGATGTGATATCGTCTATCACACATTCACTATCCTCTGTTGTGTTTGTCCTCGCATTAAACCCGAGACATTTGTGATATATATATATGTGCACGTGTTCTCGTGTGAAAAGTTAGTGTAGTGTGGTGTGTGTGTGTGCTTACTTTATGTTTTAAATAAAAAGAGAAAGGGTTAAACGATTATCGTCTGGCTCAGACAAATATGTATAATGAAAGAAAGTACGTACATAAAAGCTACATAAATCCGTACGAACACGACACGGACACAAGTAGTTATATCTCTTGGTCGAGACTTGATTAAAATCTGTCACCCTGCAGTATTGCCGATGAAACCTTAGCCAACATCTTGGAAACATATCCTATAACACAAGGCATGTGATGTCGCAGGCATAATAGGGCTTGTCGTAAACTATCACATAAATTACGTTCTAAGAGATTTCGAGAGGTTTTTGCAAAAAGGTCTACATTCATCAGGCTAGTAAACTAACATCTCTCGATCCCATTTAACCAACAAAAGAGATGATCAAGCCTTTGTTCTAGATGTAATGTGTATATCTAAATCGACTACTAATTATCTACACGACGCCATCCATCGGAAGGGTGATGGTTACAAAACCTTGGCTGAAACCATTAAGCAAGCCTATCAACTCAAAAATGCCATCTTTTATGGGTCTTACACAGGAAGCTGTGATCCATATGATCTGAACAAACAATCCGTCTGCTATTCTGCTGTGTTTTTCAGTGCCGAACCAGGTATGCATGCAATAGGAGTTATAGAAGACTCTCCGAGGAGGATTACCTTGTTGAACAGTGCCAACCACCTTTATCTCTGATATAGACATACAGGTAGAAAGTACCTGGGCACGTGGTAATTAGTTACATATCGTCACAGTTACGGCTGTACGTCAAAGTCTTACTTGTAGACTTCTTTAAATGCAAGAAATTTTCTATTGCATATAGCAAAATGCCACGTCGTCTAATTAGTCACGCACCTGTCTCTAGAAGACATCATCTGGAGACAGCTATCTTGCATTAGTAAAAACTCGGCGACGGGACGTGCGCAGTAGCTGCAGTTTCCCTTGTCTACCATGTCTGATAGCGACGAGGCCGTAGCCCGGCAAACAAGGGCGGCTAGACATGCTCGTGCAGTTTTTCCATCTTTATTGGCCGACGCGTCTAGTTCCGTTACTAAGGATTTAGGAAAAGTTGGCATTCATGCGGGCCAGGCACCCGCTCATCCGTCAGAAAAGAAGTCGATTAGCGCTAAAGGACCGAGTGGAGCAAACTCCGCTGGTCGGGGGAAGGCAGTGGCATGGACAGAGGAGGAGATTGAAGAGCTGAAGCGATTAGTCCCACAGCATGTCAAACCGACAGGTATGATATCTTGGAATGAAGTCGAAGCAGCTTGGAAAAATCTGAATCTGTCTGTTCGAACTAAGGCAAGTCTTAGCAGCAAGTGGCTCGACATAAAGAGAAAAGAAAACAACCGAAAAAAGAAGAGAAAGTCGGCCACAGTGGTTCAGAGTGATTTGACTCCGAGTCAAAGTCAAACGAAATTGCAGAGGAAAATCGTTACTGTAAGACCTGACACTCCTGTCAATGCTGATATTAGCGACAGAGGTAGCAGTAGCGAAGTAAACCCTACAGTCAAAGAAAAACCAAGTCAGTGTGTACCGACTGGCTTGGCTGAAGATGTTGTACAAAGAGAGACAACCTTCAGGAGGGAATGTAAAAAGACACAAAAGATAGGTTGCCAGATGACGTTGAGAAAAACGCCCAAAAGAGTCTCTGACAGGCACATTAACCCTATCGTCTGTGAAGTGGATAGATTTATCAAGGATGAACTGGAAAAGGAGGGAGGTCGAATATCTTGGAATAAGTTATCGAACTTAGTTTACGCTGGTGCGATGACAGTTTCTAAGATAGGAAACCTAAGGAATGAAGCGAAAGAGCAGAGGAGAAAGGAGTGGTTTAAGAACACATATAGAGAATGTGATAATTTGCGTTGCGTCATCCGAATAGCTACTAGCGAGTTAAATAGACGAATAGAAAATGCGGAAGTAGCTCCAACTCTTAAGCAAGCCATTAACATCAGAAAACTTAAAAAGAAATATGGGGTCCAGACTGGTGCTGAAATAACATCCCTTGTAGAAAAACTAAAGTGCAGGCTTAAGATTCTACAATCGCGAATAGCATTAAGGAAAGCAGACGAAGAATGTCAACGCGTTCGTCAGAAGCCGACTAAGATGCTACTCCGAAGCATCAGAGCTGAAGGAGAACCTGAAAAAACTGATGTCCATCTGATCAGGACGTTCTGGAAAAATATAGTTGGAGTGAAAAAGTCTTTTAACAGTAATGGGGCAGAGCTAG